GTCCTAAGAAAACCTCTTGCTCATATGGCTCTACGGGCTCATAGTCCTCGAGCGTCTCGAGCTCGACGAGCGCTCGCATGGCTCTATGCTTACTTCCCGTTGCGAGCCTGGCGAGCCATCACGTGACCCTGTTCTCGTGATGTCCCATTCTTAGATCGTTCCCATCCACCAGCAGTCCGTGGGGGAATCCAGGATCCCTATGCGTCCTACACGTGACCCTCTTGGTCCTGTGACCTGGTTCTGTGTTATCAGTCTTATCTGCTTGCTTGTCTCCGCGAGTGCCTCTGCGCTCGGGTTGTTCGTATTACGGGTTGTAACAGCCTGTTTAATAGCTCTATAGTTCTTTTCTATACTTTTACTATATATACTATATATATAATATATACTACGCCGCCTATATTACGCACTTACCTAATAGCTATATCTACCTATATACCGCAGCCTTTATATATATCGCAGCCTATATAGTACTACCCCTATATATATTATTTAATTTAAGAACCAACGCCTTAATAAAGGGCACGCGTGCGAAATAACAGCACGCGTGCCCTTACGCTAATCCTAAACCAGCTTACTACTCCGGAATTAACTTAACCCGCGCCTAGGAGGACGACTGTAAAACCCGGATAGATTTAGGAAAACGCATTATAATAGCTTATTCCGTGGTAGATATAATAGATCTACTATATATTCCTAATAGCTATATAATAACAAAAAAAGCGCTTAGCGCTATATACTGCAGAAGACGGGGTTTTTATCCGAACGCTATATAGCAGCAAACGGTTTCTTCTTATAAACTAGCCTAAATAGAACAGCTGTATAAACCCTAACAGGAGCTACACCAGCGTAATAGAATTTAATAATAATAATAATATAGGGCGGTAATCTAAATTATAGTTCTATTTCTTTTATACTATATAAAAAGTAGTTTATTTTATTAGCTATTTTATTATAAATATAAGGTTAATTATAGACTATAATATTCCTTTTACCTATATTTCTATACTTTTCTCTATAGCTAGGTCTATTCCTGCTTCTATTATAATACGGATAAGCTTTTCTACTTACTTCTCTATATTTATTACTTATATTCCTTTCTATAATAGGTAATATAGGTTTATATTACCTATAAAAACGTGCTCTACGTTATTATTATTTAGCAGTAGGGGTAGTACAGCTATAATTCTATTTAGTTTCGGGTTATAGATATTATAAATTTAGATGTCCTTTCTACTAGTATAGAGAAAAAGGGTAATAAGGTCTAGTAAGTAGTACTCTACTATTACAACCCGCAATACGAACCACCCGAGCGCAGAGGCACTCGCGGAGATAAGCAAGTAGATAAGACTAATTATACAGGACTAAGTTACGGGACTATAAGGGTCACGTGTGGGACGCATAGGGATCCTGGATTCCCCCACGGACTGCTGGTGGATAGGAACGATCTAAGAATAGGAACAGCACGGGATAAGAGGTCACGTGGGTGCTCGCTAGGAATCGAACGAGCGACGATGAGCGTGCTCGCTAGGAATCGAACGAGCGACGGTGAGCGTGCTCGTTAGGAATCGAATAAGCAACAACAAGTATATAGGTTTTTTAGGATAAAGCTTTCGTATATAAGGACGCTTCTTTTTATAGATAGGAACTTTATATTTAACTTAAGACTTTAATACTACCTATTGGAAGTAACAACCCCGTTTTATACCTAAGATTGATTTTACCTTACCTTTTAAAGACTATTGCACCCTAACAACGACTTAACCTATACCCTGCCTTAGTATATAACACTTAGAAGGTATAAAAAAGACGACCCGTTATATCTACTAACTACTAGTTAATATTAAGGTTCTTATTAATATATATATATATTTTTATATATAGGCTTCCTCTATATAAAAGGTAATAGGACTTTATATAGAGTATTATATACTTTTATTACTATATATTCTTCTATAGCTTTTATATTACTAGCACTAGCAGTTAAGGCTAGGCTTTCTCTGCTTTTTCCAGGAACTCTTTCTAGGTCTTGCGGCTCTTATTAATATTATACTATATAATAGTAAGTATACTAGGTTATTCTAATATTAAACTATGTCTATAGTATCTGCGGCATTTACTGCACCTGTTTTAGCGCGTAGTTACTGGCTTATATTATCTTCCTATAAGGACGGCACTTAGGTAATAGTTTTAAGTTGTAAGAGTCCATCTATATCTCCGTATATTGTCGATTAAGTTAACTAGGTTAAAGGCTGTAAGGATGGCAATGCAAAGCGAGAAGTATGCAGTATCTAAGAAGGCGTTAGATAGGAAGATTGCTGTGTTGAACAAGCAGTCTGCATTATTCTGTTAATCTTCGGCTGGCTTGGGTCCTTATTAGGATGCTCAAACATCTTCGGTCGTCCTACTCTCTTTAGTGCTGTTGGCGCTGGCCCTAGTTCTGTGCTGCCTTCGCGTGCGTTGTCGTCAGCAGCTCTCCTCTTCCTGGACTGGGTTGAGGTTGTACACACCCCCAGCGGGGCCTGGGGCGTGTACAAGCTCGGCCCCTTGTTGGTGTTGTATCGGTGTGGCGTCGCCCACCTCTTTAACGTAGCCCGTAGCTGGGCCCCTTTCCTTACGCTGCATTCGGCACTGTATGCCGGGTGGTTTCTCTTGCAGTTGGCGCACTTCTTAGTGTCTGTTGCCGTGCATTGTCTTGTGTCGTGTTCCCCTGCGCATACTGCACATCGGATGTCCTTCTTGCAGTGTCTTGCAACGTGCCCGTAGCCCTGGCATCTGAAGCACTGTGCGGCTACAAAGCCTGCTTCGTATCTTGAGGCTGTCAGCAATTGTCCACTTATTGCAAATCCCTTTGTGATAGCTTCGTCTGCCATTGCTTCCGTGCGCACGCTGGCAATGATTGAGCTGGCGTGTCGGCCTGGGTCCTCCCGCGCAGTCTTAATGCCCTTCTTGTTCTTCCACGTCATCTTCTCGATAACTAGGCCTGGGTTGATTATCGCGTTGGCCCTGATGATGTCGTCTTTAAGTGTTTGGCTTTCCAGGTCCGAGTTCTTAGGAGCTAACTACTATAAGGATAGACTCTATATTCTATATACTAAGTATTTATATATATAAGAATAATACATTAAATTTGTATAACTTTTTATTAGGTGGTTGTAGAGTTATTTAAGGTTAGATTATTGAATTTCTAGTGGTGCACGGACTGGGCAGCTCGCCCGCATGGGCAGCTCACCCGCAGGGTACGTTAATAACTTTCGGGCGTTTGTTTTTGCGAGGTATGTAGCACACAACATGCAAGCCACACCTGGGCACTTTAGGACAGAGGACTAACAAACGCGAGAACCTTTCCCCAGCGCTTTGAAGCATCTTGGCAAGGATTGGTCAACCATGCTGCGTGTACAGTCATCACATTCCCCGCGAAAGTAGCTGCGCCAAGTCAGTCCACAGCCAGCAGCAACTTGGCGCAACATACTGCAGCGCAGCTTCGATAAGTCTGGAGCTGGCGGTAGCTTGTTGCAAAATGTGACAGCTGGTTTCTATTAGAGGTAAGTTTACTTGTGATAAAGGGCCCTAAGAATGGAACCTAGCATGCCCGCAGGCCTCGAAATAGGCCTTTTAAGGCAGTGTAGACTGCTTCGGCTCTGGACGCGGCGAGAACCATGGGAGAAGGCTGTACGAAATGCGGAACCCCAGTTGCTGCTATCATCTGGACCATAGCTGAATTGGTTTCAGCCTTGTCATACGCCAAGCCGTCGAGAAGGAGTGCGGCTGAGGCAACACATCCAATTGCAATCATGGCCGTCTTCCAGTCAACATCCTTTTTCCAGAATGGTCGCGTAGATAATATTAAGGTGAGACCCAACATTCCCCCCGGCAGCCCCCAATGGACTCTGATCTTATCGGAAGACTTGATAGATGCTCAACTCATGGAAGTCTTCATGGACGCTGATGGATGCAAAACTGATAGAAGTGCTGATAAATAGTTGATTGATAGAGGCGTTGATGATGAATACTCGATTGATGCAGTAAAGAAGTGTGCTGTGAAAGGAGCAGACGAAAGTAGGCGGGAGAAGAAGTAAGAACCAAACAGCCTAAACAAGCTGCGTGACCAACTTCCCCTGGTTACCGCCACTAAACAGCAAAACCCATGTCTTCGGGATATCCTCAAACTTTGTCGGCACGACTGTCTCGATCTCCTCGCCCAACTTAATCTTCCCCTCCTTAACCGCGTCAGTTAACGCCTTCAACATCGCGCCCTTTTTTCCTGCCACTACTGCATCTGTGACAATGAACCCCTTAATCTCTAGCCTATTCTTCGTGATCTCAAACCAATTCTTCAACCCTGCCGCCTTATCCCCCGCATTATAATTCGCAATGCTCCCACACGCTGCGACCCTCCCCTCCTTCTTCAACCGCTTCAGCATCAAATCCAGAATCTCGCCCCCGACATTATCAAAATACACCTCCACAAACCCCTCCGTAGCCGCCCATAAATCCTCCTTGAAACTGGCCGCCTTGTAGTTCACACACACATCCGCGCCGAGCGACTCCACCCACCGACACTTCTCGTCCGTCCCCGCGATGCCAATCACCCGCTTGCATCCCACGATGTGCTTCGCGATCTGCACCACCATGCTCCCCGTCGCGCCGGCCGCCCCGCTCACCACCACCGCGTCCTCCTTTGTTGCCCGCGCGATGTCGAGCAGCCCGTAGTACGCCGTCAGCCCGGTCCCGCCCAGCGCGCCGAGGAAGTGGGTGGGTTTTATCCCCTCGCCGACTTCCAGCACACGGCATTCCGCGGCGTCGAGCACGGCGTACTCGGACCAGTTCGTCGTCGCTATGACCAGTGTGCCTTTGGGCAGATTGGAGGCGGTGGACTCGACGACCTCGGCGACGCCGTAGGAGCGCATCGGGGTGTTGACGGCGACGGGGGGCGTGTAGCTGCGGGCGGGGTCTTGGCCGCGCTGGATCCAGCCGCGTTGGGCGGGGTCGTTGGAGAGGTAGGTCGTGTGGACAAGGACCTGGTTATCATTGAGGTCTGGGAGAGTGGTCGTGACGAGCTTGAAGGTGGCGTCGGGGCCGGAGAGGATGGTGTCGGCGACGGGTTCGGAGGCGAGGAGCCATTGCTTGGTTTCTTGAGGCATGGCGGGCGGTGGGGTGTGGTGTTGAGGCTTTGGAGGGGGTGGTGGTTAATTATTCCGGGAGATGGGAGAGTAATGGCCTTATATCGTTCTATGGTGGGAGGGAAAGAAAGGGATTACAAATCCAGAAACAGCGCTTCCCTCTTTCATTGAGGTGGTTCGACATCCTAGCACGATGGTGGGCGGTGGACAGGTCGCGTCATAGGAGAGAAATGGGTGGAGTTGACATAGTCGAGGCGCGCGAGTCAGGCTTTGCGTCAGAAAGTAGATTGCGGAGTCAGAATCTAGACTTTCATACACTACATTCTGACCTTCACAGTTATCGTCATACGTTCATGTATTCTACAATAGAGTTGGACGTAGCTCTAATAAATAAAGAATAGCACACGATATATGATCATTTCACTTGAAATCTATGTCAACCTTACATTACCAACATGCAGACACCCGCAGCACCGTCGATGGAACTCGGAGCCCCCTTTTTCAGGCCTGAAGAAGTCGATCTATGTTATCAGGCCGCTTGTAAGGGAGATCTCGAGGAAGTCAAAAAGCAAGTTCAGCGGCTCCTACATGACTCTCGGCCGTGTCCTGAGCAACACACGCCCCATCCAAAGCGGTTGTGCAACTCGCTTTTCATAGCCATTCAGAAGCAGAACATCGAAATGGTGCGATTCCTGCTTGATGAGAATGTTGCAGACCCACATATCGTGGCTGAGGGTGCTGTGCGTGGGCGAGCCTGGGAAGTCTTGGAGCTGTTCCTTCAGTATGGATGGGATATAAACCGACCGCGGCTACGGAATGAACTCCCTATATTGAGGTATGCTTTAAGCGTTCTGATCTATAATCTGATTTTGATTCCGCTGACGGTTTCTAAGCAAACCTCTATGTACCTCGGATAGAGAAATGGTGGAGTAGCTTCTCAACCATGGTGCCGATCCCAATGCCCGTTGCGCGTGGGACTTCACCCCCATGTCTCTAGCCATATACCAGGCTCCTCTGGAACTTATAGACTATGTGTTCTCTCGAGGAGGAGATGCTTGCCGTGGCCAGCTACTCCAATTGGCCGTCATCAGGAAGAAACCCGATGCTCTGCATGTGCTTCGTCGGGTTATTCAGCGAGGTGCACCAATCAATGAAGTCAAGTATGAAAAGGAACCGACGGTGTATTCGGAGCGTGAGCCATTTGGCCGGGGACAGCACTTCACCGAGCCGCGGAATCTGGCAACAAAGACGTCGTCAAGTACTTGTTAGAGCAAGGAGCCGATCCGTTGAAATTGGATAGCAAAGGGAAAACACCACACTTCTGGGCAGAGCATTATAACGATGCAGAAGTAGCTGGCATTCTTAAGGAAGCAGAAGATAATTAGTCCAACATGCGATTTCGTCTATAGTTCCGAGGGATTTTTTATCTTGTTACCTAGCGCCATCCTTGGATTTCTCCACAAGTCTATAACCTCTTGTCAATGATCCAGGAGTGATAGATATTCAGCAGAAGGTGGCCTAAACCTGAGGGGGAGTTACCTCGAACATCTCTACTCTAACAAAACAACACTTAGCCATCGTTGTTCGTTTGCCTATTCTACCGAGGCAGTCCATTATTTTTTTAGGGATCCCGCCCACCTCATGACTCTCAAAAGAAGACTAAATAGCCAACTCATTATCTTTAGCTAGGGAGCGCTCTCGTGTTTGATTTTTCTCTTTCTGTCTCAACTTTTAGTCCTGCGCATCCTTGCATCAGAAGGAGAGTCAGGAGCATATATCACGTGACTCTCAACTGACTTTAGTTATACCCACCCGTCACTCTCAAAAGCCACTTGAAGCATCGTAGTTTAGCAGCGAATGTATGAACTGCGACCAGTACTCTCAATGCCGCTATATGCTAATACACATCAAATCGCCTCCTCCTTTCCTTTCCTCTTTTCCTATCCTACTCCCCCTTCCACCCCTCAACCAACACCACAGGCCCTTTATACACATGCCTCGCCCTAATCACATAATCCACCGCCGCAATCCCCGCCAACCCCACAAACATCACAACCGCCCAATTAAAGTCCACCGCCGTGACCGGCGTCGCATTTGGCCAAAAGCACCAAAAGAACGCATGCAAACTGTACCGGAACCCGCCAATGTTCACCGGCACACCTCACCGCCCCAAGCTCCACTGGCACTTGGGCAGCAGCTCGGGATGTCGGCTGCGGCGGTACAGCACGCAGCCGATGCTGAAGATGTGCGTGATCATGAGCGAGACGACGTTGAGGGAGATGATGGCGTTGAAGGCGACGTCGGAGCTGATGTTGATGAGCGAGAGGGCGATTGTGATGGCGGATGTGACCGTCACGGCGTTGGCGGGAACTTGGAGTATGGGCGAGACGTGGCCGATCCAGGCGCTGAAGGGGAGGCCGTGGTCGCGCGCGAAGGCCCAGGTTTGGCGGGATGTGGACAGGTTGAAGGAGACGGTGCCGGCGAAAATGAGTACAGTTAGAATTACGTTGAGGGCTGCAACGCTGCCGGAAGAGACGGCTTGGCGGAAGACCTAATATAAGGGATTAGAGGGGTTTAGGGGCTAGGTACACCGGGGGGGGCTTACCCAGATATGGGGGTAGTAGGTCGGGTTGCTCAGAGCGGCGTGTCATCATGAACATGTACGAGATGAGGAAGACCAGACCGAGAGCTCCGTTGAGGAGATAAGCTGATACTATAGCCCTAAGGAGAGTTGAGTGTTAGTGAGCTGAGTTGCACATAATCAAAGGCTGGTGGAAGATTGAGGCTTACCTGGGGACGGTCATCCCGGCGTATTTTATCTCTTCGGACATATAAGCTGCAGCGTTAGAGCCTGGGTGATGGTTAGTAGTAAGCACATGGGGATTGTGCTGGAAAAGACATATACAAATGCAGGCGTAAATGGCACTGATCTGTCCAACCATCAGGCTCAAACCCATGGTTGACCAGCCGCCCTCATTGGTGAACTGAGTAAAAGTTGTTTTGGCGCTGTTGCGCGGTGCAAGTACCCATAATACGATAATGATGGCCAAAAATCCACAGACATAGACTACTAGCATAATATTTTGAACAAGAGGCATAGTTTTGGTGCCATAAACGTTCAGTGCCCACACAATTACAGTGACAGCAATGACCATCAAAGTGCCTGTACTTGGGTTAACGGGATTTCGCGAGGAGTGGGGCTAGGGACAGCCACCTTGATAATTTGTGGGTGAGTAACTATGTGCGTTAGTATCATAGGTGTTATAAGTTTCCGAATAAACTTACCTCAGATACATGACAATGGCACAAGACTGAATCAGATTTCCAACTAGGAATGGGCCAGAGGCAGTTCCTGCCTGCCATGATAGAGTTGACATCCATCCTGAGTAACATTAGGGGGCTTCCTTGGGTTGGTGTGGAACGCAGAGGTTAATTTACCAATGAAATAGCTCATGATCTTCTGGTATCGAGGAGGCGCGAATTCAGACACCCAGTGATACTGGCCACCGGAGGTTCTATATACTTCAGCAAATGATCGTATGGGCGGGGTCTCTGAAGCACCTACGGAGCCATTGAAGCCATCTCGGCCAATGAAGCCATAACGAAACTGAAACCAACAAAGGTCCAGATGAAGGACCAAATTAAACCGGCGACCCCACTATCAGTGAGACCTTGGGTAGTAGCACTAATATCCCATCAGCGTATGCTCAGCTAATGCTACAGTGCGCGTTCATAGATATCCGCACACTTTTCTACCATTGTTTAGGGAGCCTCGTAGCATTACCAGAAACCCAGGGCGACTGACCATACCTCTCCAACCTGTGTACACTCCGCCAGTGGTTGGGGGCGACCTCAAGAGTTTACCTAGTATTCAAAATGCAGGACTTCCGTATGATTCAGAAATCAGAAATACCCTCAGGCACCACAAGCAGTGGCAAGGAAGTAAGGCGGATATCTTTGACGAGATATAGTAATAACAGGGCGATGAACGATGCACTCATGTCACCAAGACTTCCCACGTTCCTTGAAGAATCACTGTGAAGGCTATTGCAGACAGTGGACGATAGTTTCTCTAACATAGATCAGCGAATGTCGAATGTATCAGAGCGCGGATGGTAATCACCCTCAGCTCCTGGGCCTTTCCCATACGGCCCATATCAACCTGGTCATTACGGGTATAGCCTCTGTTGAAGTCATGGTAGTCATCGTCCACTTCTTCGCCAACATGCTGATTGGGAAGAGCGGAGACAGTAGTCTCGTGATAGGGTTTCTGGAGCTCATGAGAGCCAGCATCTGAAAACGAAGATGTAGCCATGACAGGCAAGTAGACAAACACGAGCCGTAGGAGACCAGCGTGAGAAGGTATATGGAAATCGATGGAGATAAAAGCGAGAAATGAAAGGACGGGTCTGAAGAATGAACTGGCGGGAAGGGTCCGCGCTGGTCCTGACAAGGGCTATGCACCCACTGCTATGGCTGCCGGGCTCCTCGCGGGAGGCAATTCATGGTATCCATCGGTCGCTCGTGGTACGAGCCTGTCGCACGTGGCCTACTAAGTAACAATTGCGTAACGACGGACCTCGAGCTTTGGACGGGGGGTCCAGCCAATCGTCTTAGCAGCTTCCCCTGCATGGAAAGCCACTGGAACGACCCGCCGGCGGCGAGCAGAGGCGAAGAATTGTGGGTTGATGCTGCAATTGGGTCGGTCCAGTGCCGTTCGAAGACGACCCTCTGCTGCCATTGCGCCCGCCGCGATTCTGACACTCTAGCCGCTGGTGCTCCGGCGCTAGCAAACTTTATCGTGCATGTTGATTAACGTCGTGCTCGGCTTCGGCATGTGTAGAACAACTTGGCCTGCAAAAGAGTGCATGGCGCCGTGGCCCGAAGCTGGGGGGGGGTGCTGAAGCGGTTTCTTTTTGACTAAGAGGCGTTTTCAACGCGATCCCTTCCAGGCCAGTGCTGGTGAAGTTCCCTGACTATAAAGTGGCAGGCCTTCAATCCAACCGAGATTTCATTCCATGACTGCCTGTTCAGCGGCGCATCCTGTACGCTTACCTAGCACTGCTGTAAGAAAAAAAAAAGCCTGTAAGCCGAGCATCTGCACCTGCCACATAGCTCTCCGGGTTACCTCAGAAGGTGAATTGGACCGCCACTTCATGCAACGGAAGCGTGGCTGGAGGGCTAGATACGGTGGTCTAATAACGTGAAAAGTGCAACAACTCAAATGAGCTGGCCCGCAGCTACAAACCAAGCTTAAGCACGTTGACATTCATCATCTCTGGCTGCGCCAGCAAGTACAACGGCAAGAGATTGAAATCAAATGGATACCTACAGCCGCGATAATTGCAGACGGCTTCACGAAGGCACTAGACCGCCAAAAGCACGAGAAATTGTAGCTTGCTATTCTGGTCTGATGGTGCTATGGCTGCTTTGAGAATAGCTAGCCACTTAAATACGGGCTTGCCTACATAGTAGTGCTGCAGGGCTACTACTACAGATTCGCTGATTCTTGTTTGTACGGAGAACAGGGCTGTAATATGCTTTTTGTAGGCCTTTTCCTCCATAGTATACTTCTTAACCAGCCTGTTGTACTTCTTGTATTGCTTATTGCTGAGCTCGGTAATGTCAGGTTCGTTCTCCGTGGCGCTAGCATCTGCTGTGGCCGTGCTAGCCGTGTACGTGCTAGCCGTAGCCGTGGCCATCCGAATAGTAGGCTTAATAGGCGCGGCCTTCACGGGAAGACGAGTAGTGGCATCGGGATCGACGTATTGCCAGACGCGCAGGCTTTCCGCGTGGGTTTTGATCTGGTTGATCCACAATTTCCAGTTAGGTCCTGATGCTAGGATGACCTTGGTTGTGGATAGCAGCTTGACTTATAATAGATCTATATTAGCCAGGTTTAAAGGAACGGTAACTAATATACTAATAATACCTGTATGGATTTAGGTGCGGCAAATAGCGCGTGTACAGCAGATAGCGCGTGCAGCAGCTAATAGGGGCAACGTAGCAAGGCATATAACTTCCTAGCTAGGAGATATAGGAGAAGGAGAATACAATAATAGATTGTAGCTTTAGGCTGGGCTTATAACTGGCAGCTAGCGTAGGAAGGGCAAAGGATTAGTAAAGGAAAGTATAAGTTGTATTAATATTGTAATAAGGGACTATATAGAGTAACAAGACTCCCTTAATAGCAAGGAATAGCAAGGGATAGTAAGGGAGATCGTGCAACTCCGTAAAGAGGAGAAAGGGAGAGAAATAAGGGAGAATAGAGGCGTGTTACAAGCTGCCAGACCCCCCTAGATTGTAGCGAAACGGTAGCAAAGCTATAAGCTGTATAAGAGAACGAGAAGTGATAGGAAATAGTTAAACTCAGGTTGCAGCACTACAACCTAGGATCAACAACTCATATGCTAGAAAGCTACTCCGAACATCAGCTGTAGAGAACACAGCTGAGATCTCAGCTGTGGAGAGCCCAGCTGAAAACTCAGCTGTGCAGTGTTCAGCTGAACTTACTAGCGCGCCACCCAGGGGGTGGCCCCCCTTCCTTCCCCTAGTATATATACAACTAGCTAGACGTCTATAGAAATCAGAGTTCACATCAATTTCAACCTGAGTGTTAATTTGATAGCAAGTGCTAGCCAGTAGCAGATGCTAGAACATGGCTATAGCCGTAGCTAGAACGTGGCCATAGCCGTAGCTAGGCAGTGGCCGTAGCTGTGGTGTTGTTGCTGGCTAGTAGCTGCGAATGCGGCCTGATAGTAGTGCGTATGCATAGCAGGTTCGTGCAGTAGTTTGTGCAGCAATTCGTGCATTGCATTCGTAGCTACATCGTGGTGGCTGCCACGGCCTGCCCCTTGTCGTCTAGGCCGTTGATTAACCGATTAAGATAAGAGGTTGTTGATGTTGTACGTGACGGGTGTTCGCTGCCGTCTCGGACGAGAAACAGGGGCTGCCTCAGGGGCTGCTATTGCTGCATACGGGGCCGCCGGGGCCGCATCTGGGGCAGCATCTGGCGCTGCATCGCGTGTTGCATCGTGTGTTGCATCTATATCTGGTTCTGCATTTGTTGCAGCATCTGTATATGGCGTTGCATCGTCCTCTGGCTCAGGGGTAGGCGAATGCCCTGTTGGCCCTTTTGGTGCGGAATCGCCCATATAGGATGGCTCTCGTGTAGATGCCGCATCTACTATGCTAGGCGTGCCATGCCTACTAGGCGTTCTATGCGTGCTATGCGTGCTATGCGTGCTATATATGCTCAGCGTGCTAGCCGTGCTGCTAGCCGTGCTATGCGTGCTAGGCCTGCGTTGTTGTACAGTAATATGATCAAGGAGAGGGTCGTCTTTGTCCTTATCATCTGCCTAAGCATCGAGTTCTGCCAGCTTGCTAACTAGCGTTTGCCGCAGCGGCCGTATAATAATGCACTTAAGAATTTCCTCTGCAGGTTGTTGTAGCCTAGCAGATAGATCTAGCGTTCGTGGTTTATAGAAAAGTTCTTTGTTAAAAGTGACGTCCGTTATTTGTACGACCTTCTGTTCGCTAGGAATCCAGATGCAATAGATATTTGTTGCTTTATAGCCAACGAGGTACCCTACGTGCGCATATAGCTGCATTTTATTAAGCTTTGGAATGTTATATATCAGCAGATAGGCCCTACAGCTATATGCGCGTAGATACGCTATATTAGGTCGTGCTAATAGGCCTAGGCAGCGTTGTAGTTCCTTGAACAGTGATTTCTATTCGAACTGCTTTGTAGGCGTACAGTTCTTAGCGTATACTGCAAATTTCAATGTTTCCGGCTATATTAATTCCGGCAGATTCGCATGCAGGCGTGCTGCCCTGCCTTTCTCTATAAGCCTGTAGCCGGCTTGTTCTGCTGTGCTATTTAGGGCGGTATTATGCGGTGGTAAGGCTTTAATTATAATGCCTTTATCTTCTAGGAACTGTGCTAGAGGCCTCGTAAGATTGGTTGTAGAAAGTAATAATTTGTTATCAGTTTTAATAACCTTAACATTGCGTGATTCAGATATTATAATACTCTGCACAGTATATAATAAGCTGGTTATAGGTAAGGCCTTCAGCAAAGAGGCCGATTAAATTAAGTTAGTACTTGTCCAGGTCTATCTTAGGGCGTCCACCTTAATAACTATTAGCTATTATACAAAAGATAAGAATCCGATTTACCTGGTATATTATGTTAGTGTTAGAACTGTTGTATTTTCAGAGGAATCTTTAGGGGGCCACTAACTATACACCCCCTTTTAACTCGACGTACACCCCTTTTTCACTCCACGTACACACCACCCCCCGTCTTGGCGCTTTACCACTTTCTGATTGGCACGGAGAGCCCGGAGCTTCCTCCGGGCATTCACCTTTACGTCTCTCTACACGTGATGCTATACGCGAGGCCGTATGTGATGCTATATAAAATGGAGAGGCTGTATAGCTATACCTATTTTATATAGCCTCACGCATAAGCTTATATATAAGCTTATGTACGAGCTTATATACAAGCTCTAAGTATAAGTATAGAATAGAATTCTATTCTAGAAGTGCCTACGTGCCTAACAGCATGCCAAACCTGTTAAAACCTTACCTTATTACGGCTCCTCTGCATCGAGCCTGGCCTTCTAGCATTGCCGCCTGCACCTACTCTTCACCCTGGTCAATATATCCCTCAATTTCCTTATCATACGCCGCAAGCTGACGTAGAAGCTCCTCTCGGCTAAGCCTCACTGCTTGAGGATGAGGCTGAGGCTGAGGCTGAGGCATAGGCTGAGCGCCTCTGAGCTCGTGCTTTTTTCCGTGGTACCTTATCCTTTGCACCAGGCGGCTGGCCGCGCTTCTTAGCTGCAGGTGCAGCCGTAGGTGCAGCCGTAGGTGTAGCCGTAGGTGTAGCCGTAGGTGCTGCTGTATGCGCTGCTGTATGCGCTGCTATAGGTGCTGCCGTAGGTACTGCCGTAGGTGCTGCCGTAGGTGCTGCCGTAGGTGCTGCCGTAGGTGCTGCCGTAGGTGCAGCTGTAGGCCTAAGAAGGGCTGGATCAGTACGAGAAAGATCAACCGGTGTAGCTGTCGACTGATAGGCATTCCGAGCGACAGGAGCTGGACGAGGGACTACAGAAATAGGCGGTGCTGGCGGCGGAGCTGTCGGCATGCGTCCTGGAGGTATGCTCGTATGTCCACTCTGTCTGGTTTACTACGGTATTTTGCTAGGCCGTAGCCCTGCGCTGATGCATGCGCTTGTAGCGTCTGCCGTGGCGGCTGGAGGGCCATGGTGAGTGTATTGTAGAGGGAGAGGTCGCTGCAACAGTGAGCAAATTCTGGCCCATAGAAAAATAATCACGTTATTGATGCATACAGGTTTTCGACACGGTACAGTCAGGCGTAGTGTTCCATCAAGTAGACCATGGCTACGGCAACTCGTTGGTGTCCCTCTCTGCATCGAACCTGAGGGCGATCGGCAAGGTATGTCGTGGATCAGACGATCGATCTTGATCCCCACGCGAGTCAACTCGCGAACCACGATGCGGCCTCTTGTTTGCTTCTTCCCCAACACTATCTCAACCTCACCCTTCCAAGTTCGTCACAATATATCACACATTCTCGTATCTAACTTCCACCAGGCCGACTTCGTGTCCCAGATTTTCTATGTTTTTATGCTTCTTCTCTCAAAAGGCGCAATTTTGTTCCTATACCTACGCCTCTCGCCAAACCGCAGCCATGCCTGGGCCTCGTGGGCGACCTTGGGTGTTTCGACATTCTGGTTCATCCTCTCCGTGATCTTGATATCCGTGCATTGCAATCCCCTCAATATCTGGACCGATGGCGCTTCTCAGTGCGGAAACATGGTAAGATCCGTCCATCCTTCCGGCACTCCCATTACTCCCAGACGTCAATTTGCTCACTCGTCCCTAAAGTTCATCCGCTGGCAAGTCATCGGCGCCATAGACATAACCACCGAACTCGCCATCTTCTCCATCTCCGTCTTCCTCGTCGCCAGACTAAACATGCCCACCACGTCCAAACTCACTGTCATCACGGCCTTCAGCGCGCGTCTGCCCGTGATCGCTGCCGCCGCCGTTCGCCTAAACTACATCCACGCCACCTTCCACTCCCCCAACCCCTCCCTTGTCGCCTCCTATGCCTGCGTAACCACCCAATGGCATCTCGGCTACGCGATCATGGCCAGCACAATCTCCGGCCTCGGGCCCTTCCTGCGCCCCTTCGCGAAGAGCTTCAGCACCCACTACCAAATAGGCCCCGGCGGCGTCGGCCAGTTCGCAAGCTCGGCCTCGAACTCGCACGCCCACTCCCGCTCCCACGCGTCATTTGCAATGGCCTCTCTCTCCTCTAAAAATGCGGATGGCGGCGCGCGGCTGGGCAGCTGCTCCGACTCGCCCGTGTCTGCGCTAGGGGCGACGGGGAGCGGTCCCCCCCTCAAACTCCGCCCAGAACGTGTCACGCAGGAGGTGGATATCCGGCATGTGGCATCGGGTACGCTAGAGGGAGACGAGGAACGGGCGAGCTTACAGAGCAATGATAGCAGGCGAATGATTATTACGAAGAAGATCCAGTGGAGTGTTGATCATGATGCTGCGAGTTTCAGGGAGTCAGGGGGGCAATAAGGATAGGGGATGGGATGTGAGATTATGTGTAAATGATTTAGGATTGGGAGGCGTTGGGGTAAAGTATTGAGTTTTAAAGATATCTATACATAAACTCATCCCCGCCCCAATCACCCCCCTCCACCCCCACCACTATCCCCACCACCTCCACTATCTCCCCCACCTCCTCCATCTCCTCCGCCTGAATAGCCCCCACTATCGCCGCCTCCATGGTGATGATGATGCCCATGATGTGCATCACAGTCGTCCCCTAGGTACACTCCAGCCCCTCCAGCGGGTCCGGTCCCTCCCGTTCCTCCCGTCGTCCCGCCGCCGTCGGTTGCGGCCCAGTGCTCTCGGGCCTCGCGTCGTAGACGAGCGTTTTTCTCGCCTGGGCTTTCATGATGTCCGAGACATCTCAACCAGAGATCCATACAGCCCATTATGAGAGCAGGGCCGAATGACGCGTGAGGCTTGTAGCGCGTGAGATGGAAGATGGGGTGATTGGAAGAGGGGTTATGAAAGGCTATTGCGGGGGAATTGAGGTTGAGATTGGTAGAGTGGGTGTGGGAATGAATATGAAAGAATTGTGGAGAGGGGTTTGAAGTGTTTTATACCTTAGCAAGGACGGGATGGACCGGTAGCTAAATGACTGGTTTTATAGAAGACTCTTGACTCTTGGCGGACCAGCTTCACTGACTTAGAAAGGAGAGAGAGCGATCGAAAGAGATTAGGTTCGAATAAGGTTAATGCCTTTAAGAATATCGGCGGTATTCCCGGCTTGAGGTGGGTTTGTCGCTTGCCCTTGTTACCAAGCCTCCTCATCCTCACCGGTATCACGGACACCAGGCATACTCAGCCTCATATGCCATAATAGAAGCAACCTTGCACTAATCATATCGATAGCTTAGCGTTTGCAAGGCCGATCTCAAAGTCGCTTTTTCCTTTGGCAAGAGACTATATTAAGACGTCGTCTCTAGATCATTACTACAGTTTAAGCATCATCCTTATTTAGCTGTATGAGCGAACGAGTCTCTTTTTCTATTACTCTGGGTTCTGTTAAGATTTGGGGAAAATAATATAGAGTGACACTTGAAAATGGACGATAGTCTTGAACGACGGTGAGTACGCTGAGAACTCCTTGGCCGTTAATAGAATATCCCCTAATTCTACCTACACAATGCAGGTTCATCACTTGAAAGCTTATCACTCGATGAGATTCCAGGATGTAGTTGATGATACGTAGAACGATGGGAAGGAGATGCGGAGGTCCGACCTCGGGAAGAGCCGCATGCCAAGACCAATATCACGTGAAGATTGTGACCAATCGGAAGCACTTGATTAGTATGACGTTCGGCTTTGAAAGCGGCTCAACACCATCGCCATCGAACATCTCTCATACCCCAATATCTACGCCTGAACAGCCTACACCCCTCGTTGACCTGCGTCAGTCTTGTCAGTCTGTACGCACTTGTCAACATGTTTCTCCCTCGAACCGCACGGCCGATAAGCTCCGCTGCTACCTCATTCCTACATTTCGCCGCTCAGACTTCCGCTCCACGACAATGTCCTCGATGCCTCCGCACATTTTCCTCTTTTAGACCCTTCCGGCAATCATCGAAAAGACGACTGCAAACAGCAAGTGCCTACCACCCATCCTCATTACAACCAGAGTCGTTGCCACCCCGCAATTTGGGAGTTCCGGATACCTCCATCGCTGGGCGCGCATCCGAGGTTAGCCACGCCTGGACACCACAACCCACAGAGCAGCGATCAAGTGCGGGGATCGCAAATGTAGAGCGGACATCAAATTTTAGCCTTCCAGAGGGTGAGGCGCAGAAGAGCCAGCCAGCGCAAACACTCAAGCCAGCCGGAGCGAAACCACGGCGGTATAACTTTGCGGCGCGGAAAGCAACAATAAAGATCTCAAAGACGGCTGTGTCACATCTCAAAGGGCTTTTGGATCAGCCAGAGCCGAAACTTATCCGGATAGGGACGAAGGCGAAAGGCTGCTCCGGACTGGCGTACCACCTAGAATACGTTGACAAGCCCTCGAAGCTTGATGAACAGGTGGAGCAGGATGGAGTGAAGGTCTTGATTGATAATAAGGCTCTGATCAATATCATTGGGAGTGAGATGGACTGGGTTGAGGACAAGCTCAGTGCTCGTTTTGTTTTCAAGAACCCGAATATCAGTAAGCAGAAGACCAGTGAACTACTAAGAGCGATGCTAACAATTGAATAGCTGAACAGTGCGGTTGCGGGGAATCATTCAGTGTCGGATAGATTAGCTGCCACGACCCAGTCTTTGTGCAAATCTTATGCACATATGGCATTGCATGGCACGGCGTTTACGCATTAGCATCGGGATGAACCCTGTTCTATCATTATTGGCCAACTGAGCCATGTTCAATTCATTGTATTAATACTAAGCAGAAGCAGGCGGAGATGATTACTATTATTAGATTGCAAATGATACCCATGATTCCTCTGAAAACTACTGGGTGCTAATGTATTTCCACAGACTAAAACTTTCCTGGTTCGAAATCTACAACTCGGACATTTTGAATGATTGGGCCAACGTCCTTCGTGAATTGCAGGTGGCTTGGGTCACTCTCTAAATAGTACTTCCGGTCTTCCTCACTTTCAAACTCCACAACGAAACCGTGGCTGAATCCGCCCTAGAAAGATACCATTAGCATATGTCCTCAAGAAATCAGAATGAAAGGGGTTGCAACTACTTGGTGTCCTTCAGGACTGTTGTCCCTACCGCCTTTGACCGACTTCACGTATGGTTTCTTGGTGGTTGGGTGGATACATTTCTCTCCAAGTGCTAGAAATTGTTCGCAAGTCTGTAATACATTTAGATATGAGACTCGAGTTCAAATCAGACACTGCTGCATACATGTTCAATCTCTGCATGACTTGTGGTCGGCTTGAATTCGAAGAGCACGATATGAACGATGCCCATGTTGTCCGATGAGATTCGCCTTGATAAGTGAGATGGTGAGGAGAACTTTGCAACTGATTTAGAGGAGACGATCAAGAGTAGTATGAGGTTAACAATTGATATGGCCTGATGAGCTGCTATGACGGTTCATATGTCTAGTATGTCTAGCTAGCAGTTAGGGTGCTTATATATCGAGGATCTAATCGCAGGAAGGACCGAGCTTTCCCCAGACCACATGCAAGTAAGGTGAATGTTCCGCAGGGGCCATTCCTCTCGACATCGTTCATCCTCTGTATAATAATGGCCAGTGGGCTTGGTCACAACACGCGAAGCTTGCAATGCATAGTAATAGTGCTTATCCATCATCTATAATCCTCCCCACGCCATAGTATCTCCGGGGCTATCACCAAACCTCCGATCCTCGAACCACAGCACCTCCGCAACCATGACCACCCCCCTCCCCGACCAAATCCTCTACCTGATAATCCGCTTCACGGCCTCTATACCCGACCTCCCGCTCAGCATCTCCTCGCCACGAACTCTCACAACCCTCTCCCTCAAGCGCCTCATCCGCACCCATCTCCCACCCGCTCACGCCTCCAGCCGCCTCCGCCTCATCTACACCGGCAAGGTCCTCGCAGACACCGCGCCCTTATCCCTCTCCCTCCGCCTCCCTCCACCACCTCCTCCCCGCTCTACTGTCTACAATGACTCCAGCCAAGGCAAAGGCAAGGGCAAAGAGCCCGTCCGCGACCTCCCCGAGCCCCCGGACAACTCACCACGACTCTACATCCACTGCTCCCTCGGCGACGCCCTCTCGCCCGCCGACCTCGCCGCCGAAGCCTCTTCCGCCCTGACATCTGAGACCTCACTCGCGAAACAGCTGTCTAAAACTACAAAACATGGCGCGACAGGCAGTACGAGCAGCGCGACGGGTGGACGAAGGGACAGCGCTGCCACAACGGCCGCACCGCAAGGCTTTGATAGACTACTATCAGCCGGTTTCACGTCTACGGAGATCGCGAGCTTGCGTAGCCAGTTTCTTACGAATATCTCGTTCACACATACCCCGGATAACATGCCCTCGGGCGCGGCGTTGCGCGCGCTGGAGGATAGGTGGCTAGACTCGAGTGCGCATGAGGCGCCGGCGGGCGACACGACTGCGGCGACGGCGACGGCGACGACGGAGGGAGAGACGGGGTGGGGAGCTGGGTTTGGAGTCGACGATGGGGGACTGGATGATATGCTGTTTGGGTATTTGACGGGGTTCTTTTGGCCGCTGGCGGCTGGGGTTTGGGGGATGCGGGAGGAGGGGGTGTGGACGAGGAGGCGGCAGGTTGCGGTTGTGATGGGGGTCGTGTTGAATTGTGCGTTTGGGTTTTTGAGGTGGAGTTCATAGGGGGAGTGGTGTAATATGGAGTTGGAGTTTGGTGAGGGTAGAGACGATGCAGGACCTGAAAATTGAAATATCTTCACTCATAGCATCTCTCAACGACATGTATTATATCAAACCAGATGTCGGTGCGGTTCGATTCGTTACTTTTGTTAACATTACTAACGACAAGGTGCATACGCTATGTAAGTACGCGGTGGACTCACACGGTGGGCTCATAACCACGCGGCGTCTACCAATCTTAGGTCTACGCGGTTCGAATCGATACTTTTGTTCACATTTTTCCAGGCGAGGTGGACAGTCTGTGTGGACATGTCGTGAGATTACCTAGCCATAGAAACGATTCATTCCGCACCTGAAAACGTATCACAGGCTGCTCACAAGCACCCAAACCCAGTTTCACCTATGTATATCTATGTTTCTATATTTTCCTTTGTCCATTTCTATCATCGTCCATTTCTATCTTCCCCATCCCATCTCATCCCCTCCCTCAAAGCTCCACAGGCCACCTCCTCCTCACTCTCCCCCCATACCTAAAAAACACCCACGGAATCGGCGTCATCACCAGCGTCAAAAACCCCAGCACACTATTCCCCCACCCCAGCCCCAACTTATCATACAGCGGCGGCCCCGCCAGCGGCAAAAAAGCCCCAAAGGCACTCCGAAAGCACACCAGCGCCGCCACCGCGCTCGCCGACGTGGTCAAGAACGCATCAACCATGTACGTCTGACACGGTAGGAAGATACCGAGCAGTCCGAAACCGAAGGGGATGAAGGCGAGACAGGGTAGTATCCAGTGCGTTCGGTATTCGGCGCACCAACCGTAGATGAAGAGCCCGATGGGCATGAAGATGGCGTAGTAAGTTACGGAGGAGAGGCGCATTTCGGGCTCGAAGATGCCGTTGTTGGCGGCGCGGAGGCGGAGGACGGTGCGGTCGTTTGTGCGCATTATTGTGGCGATATTGATCTGAGGGGGTTTGTTAGTGGGGAGGAAAAGGAATTGGGGAAAGGGGGAGGTCTTACAAACATGCCGACGCCGACTGTAAGAGTGTTAGCGGATGAAAGATAAGTTATACAGAATCAAGATTTGAAGGGATGCTTACGTCCTAAGTAGGCTAGCCCGGTCATTTGGATGGACCAGCCGTATTTTTCTTCGAAGACTATGGGAATGGTGGTGAAGAGTAGATCTACAAGATACTCAGTTTAAGGTCTCCCTGTTTCGAAGGGGAATGGGTACTCACATAGAGTCCCGTAACAGACTGCAACGTAAAAGCTGATGAGAAAGACGATTGGGGATCTGGTGAGGAACTGAGGATCACATTTTAGCTTGCATCTCCTGAAAGGTTACAGGAAATTGATCACCTTCATCGGTCGAACTATACTCTTCGCCAGCAATTCCCGACTGGTCATCCTGATCTCGAGTTGCGAATGCAGGTCATCTCTTCCAAGCTCTTTTCTTAGCCGGTCCGTCTTCCGTTGCAAGATCGTCGCGTGATTGGACTCGTCCATGAAGAAAACCATGAGCAGATTGAACGGACCACTGGCCATGACCAAGATCCAGTATGCCTTCAATCAAATCAGCAAAGATACCGGTTGGCCATAGAGAGTGCTCGCATACCCATCGCCAGCCCAATTGCTCCGAGATAAACCCTCCTGCAATAGGTCCAACTGTAATCCATTAGCTTCAAATTGCCAAACTCTCATCTCGAGCCTAACTCACCAATCGGCGCCAAAGTCGGCGTCCCAATCACAATCGCACTCGCCATCGCTCTCTTATGGTACGGAAAGCAATCCCCCACAACCGCCGGCACAATCGTCATGACTGCCGACCCACCAATTCCCGCTAGCAATCTCATGATAATCAAACTCGGCATGTTAGGTGCAAAGCTGCAGCCGAGCATGAAGGCGGTAAAGAAGGTACTGGAGATATTCACGACGATGACACGGCCGTACATCTCAGACAGGGGAGCGAGGAAGAGGGGGCCGATGGCGTAGCCGAGTACGAAGATGGAAATCATGAGGGATCCGATGGTGTTAGAGGTTACATTGAATTCTTTGAGAGTGAGAGAGGTGCCGGGGGCGCAGATGGAGGAGGACATTGGGCTGGAGGAGTATGACTTTTAGCAAGATTCTAGATATAGTAAGCTCGAGTGTATTTACCTCAGTGTCGACATGACGGCTACGAGGCCCATTAGGCGCCATCTTCTGCCCCAACTCCAATTTCTGCAATCTTTTGGTTAGGTTGGAATATTTACGTAAAGCATTCGAGCCTCATACAAAGGATTCGTCAGGTCATTCTCGTCGTCCCATCCCACTAGCCCCTTGTCTAGGTCCATATATAGCCCTCTACCTTCTTCCCCGGTCGTTACAGCCTCTTGCGCTGCCGCAGTCTTGTAGTCGTCCGCATCTCCCACTCCCACAGCTACACCGTCTTTATCGATATGCCCCAGCGGCACACTCTTCTCTGAATCATACTCGGGCGCAAGCTTGTGATCTGACATTACGAGAATATAAACACAAGAAGTGCGAACACAGCTGCGTAGATAGCATAAGTAACACCAAAGTTACAAAAAAAGCCACGGAATCTTGAAAACGGTAAGAGAGGATCCAACCGCGGGGAGCGGTAAGTACTAAGATGTTTTGACAACGCGGATCTGCGGCTCTTAGCGTCGGCGTCATGGGGTTGGTTAGCTCTTGTCGTTGCTTCCCCAGAAAATTAGATGTTGTGCGCTTTGCGGGGATGGGAGGGTCGTTGGGCATGGGCCTTATTCGGATATCAAAATCCGGTTACCCGGATGCGGCTAAGCAGGGGATTTAAGCACGACGGACGCTAATGTGTGGGGACTCTTGGTATATGGTGGCTTGTGTTGGGTGCCGTATACCCGGGGAAGGGATCGGAGGATTTTGGCAAGGAGATATTCGGTAGAGATCAGAAGTTCTGTTGTAAAAATTATACCATAAACGTAGAATATTCATATTTCAGGTGATGACAAGTTTCTAACTTCCATCGTAGCTCCAAGAAGGACTATAAGAAGATCGTTTGCACCATAAACATGCAGTTGATAACAAAGCAAGGAAATAGGAGCATCCCAATTAGTAAATCCAGGAGCTTACCAGCTCATTTACCATTGTAATCGTGGACCGGCCATACGCCCGTTACAAAAGCTATCTCTATATGGAGAATTTGATAAAAAAGAAACGGATATAGGGCTATGATAAACACTAACTCTAAACTGGCAAGATCGGCTCAGAAGGTTGACCAAAGGGGATCAACTCGAACCGTGAGAATGCAAACCACCTAGATGTGCAAGTGTCTTTACCTATTGTGGGCCCTGAGCCGTATTACCTACGTTGGTCGTGCCAGAGAAGCTCTGGCTACCGTACAATGCGGTGGATCCTTGTCCGACGTTTCCTTGATGAGTCGAGGTCCCATCAACATCACCCTCCTGGTGAATATCTTGTCCCTCACCTATCACCACAAGCTCCTTGATCTCGGCGCTCTCTTCGAAGCTGTCTCCTTGGTCAATGTCCATCATCTTCGGACTCGGCGGCAAGTCATCGCTACTGGCATTCGCGAATGCTTGGGCGAGCTGTTCCCTAGCTGTCAGATTAAGGAACCCCTCATCACTCGACGGCGTGCCATGATGCGGGTCCTCGTCGTCGCCAAAGTCCTGAAGCATGCGGTCGTCCTCGCCTTCGTTCGAGCCGTTATGGCTTGGAGATTGAGGCTCGCCGGCCAAGTTACGTGCCTCGGTGGGATTGCCGCCGAGGTCTTCTTCCGTAGGGACACCATTGTCCTCTTCCCCGTCACTTTCCCCCTCGTTCTCTTCGTTCTCTGTGACAGCCTCGCCAGTTGGCTCTTGTCCCTCATTTTCATCGCCATCACCTTCCTCAGAGCTCACGGAGCTCTCCGTCCCCTCCTCTTCTTCTTGTTCTGCCTCAAAGTTACCAAGCTCAATGTTCCGAGCATCCATCGCCATCCTATGCTCTTCCAGCATATCAGCGGGCATTCTTGGAAGTCCATCTGCATTGAGGCCCTCAGCATTAAATCCGTTCACGTCAAAGCCAGCGTCATCCCAGCCATCTCGATTGAAGCCGTTGCGGTCCCTACCATCCTCGTCAAATCCCTCTCGGTCGAAGCCCTCATCGTCGAAACCGGTGTCTCCGAAGCGATCGTGTTCTTGTTGCCCTTGACGAGTGAAGCCGTTGCGATTCAGACCGGTGTCTTTATGAAATCCGTCCTGATTGTATCCATCGTCATCATATTGAGGATGACCGTAGGAGGGGCATCCATGATAACCTTCCCAATCCTCGCCACAGATGTAGCAGAATTCGCGGCCACACTTGCAGCTGTTCTCTGGTTAGTTTAGATCTATGAAGTACGGAATAGCGAGCAAATACTACTTACGTAATATGGTTGCAGGCCTCTGACAACTCGATGACATATTTGCAAGTACATCGTTGGTACTTGTGCTCTTTGACCGCCTCCTGGAATTTGACTTCGGCATCCGAAATCGCGCACGTATGAGGTCCTTCATAATCGATTAGCGTCATGCACTTGATGCACGTGAGTGCATTGCACGCATCGCAAAGCGCCGAGTCGGCCGGATCTTGCTTGTAGCTATCTGGGTGGATGAAATGGCCGCATGTCTTGTTGCCGCAATAAGTGCGTGACCTAACGCTACTAATTAGCAAAGGCTCTAGGAACGAGAAGGACGTGGGCGAAGGTTTTGTTCTGCACTATACTGGTGTACCACTCACCGAGATTGAATGCTATACTCCCGCTCCTTCACCCTGTAATCAAACGCGAGCTCAAATGGTAGGTAGTCCTCGAAATCGTCGATCAACAGAACGGAGAATTGCGCGTCACAGCACCGCGGGTGGTACTTAGACTCGTCGCGAATCGCAAGGTCGAAAACTTGTTCAAGACACACATCGCACATCCAGTGCTCGCCGCAGCTGGTCTTTCGGAGTGGCGCATCCTCCTTTTCGTCGTCGCCGCATACTACGCAAGCAGCCATCCTAGTGTGTTCCTTAAGTATCTAGATGGAGGATGATTATGGGTGGGATGAGTGGTTGAGAGGTTGGTCTGGTGGAGGTGGAAGTGGGTTCGAAGGTGCGCGAAGGGAGACTTTATAGGCGACGGGCGTAAGGTGCGCGGTGAACGACAGTCACGTGCGAGGTTCCCTATGTTGAACGGAAACCGGGATCTGTTGATGACGAGTGACCACCAACTTGAAGGTCGAGATCTCTCAAGAAGTAACTACTTCACTTCATGCGAGAATCCTTACGCTGCACAACTCGAGTATCAGGGAACAATGAAATCTCCACGGAGGGGATGCGTTAGGCTGGGAGTGAATACAGATAGAAATAGATTGGGACTAATATTCACCAGTCCGGACAAAACGACCGGAACTCAGGAACACGCGATGGAGGGAGTACGAAAATAAAGCCCTAGAGTCAACGGGACAGGAGCGAATATAAGGTGGAACAGACGCGGCTGAGTTCGTGGGTGCTGATACCTAGATATAGGCAGCACTGCAGCCTCCCGAGTCATAGCCCACCGAAACGCGTCCCAATAAGCTTAAGCGGATTAGATTTGCTTATGCCATTGGCGTTTCCAGGTACTACAGATATGGTCCAAGAGCTCGAATGCCTTTGGTTAGTGGTTTACTTTAAGCCTTGGTGTTGAGATGATACTGAGGACGATCCCCTGAGGTCCGAGCCGGACCCCACATTTTATGTGACTAAACACATCACGTGTTACATCCTCTACGAGTGCTCGAAATAATTCTCATACGCTCTGGCTCTGAAGAGGAGAATAAGTAAGGAGGTCCAGATGAAATCCTTGAAATTAGAATGTTGGTTATACGGGCTTCAACGAATAGAACTAGGTCTGTTCAGATGACGCCTGTTCCTGGTCCATTCTGATAGAATACATTCTGATCCTCATTTTCCTTTTTTCCTTTTCCTCTAGGGTTGGCAGATGCCTTCGAGAAGCTAGATCGCGTACAGCTTGCTGCCACTGACTCTGCATTCATGATTGCAATGATGGATTCTACGAAAGTAGCGTCCCTTGATGTGTCCTTCGCCTGCTGTGCCGTATGCCCAAACGACCTGCAGTGATGCTACCTAACTTTAACATGAACATTGAGTCCTATCCGTGTGATGATACTAGGCCTTGCGTACCTTAGATAATCGAAAAATGAGTGTTCCGAATAATTCTACTTATATGCTATCACGCTAGAACAATTGCCAAACAAGATGTGCGACTCCACAGGAGACCATTCCGTCCTATTTCTACGGCCTTCTTCTCTTTCTATGTTCCGATCACCGCACTTCCAGGTGAATTCTGATCCAGCGTTGAGCACGCAGCCAACTCTAGCGCTCTCAATTGGTCCCGCTGATACCCTGTCAAGGATCATATCCTGCAGCTCAACAGGGAGTCTGTGAATAGGAGTCATAAAAGCACTGGCCTGGATAGCTTCGAGAAGGAGCTCGATAGCTTCATAGGATGGAGGATGCGTATCATCAAGAAGACGCTCGCATTTGGTGTATCTTCTAGACTCTTTATTGATCCTATATAGAATCGTCTCCTGCACTGAGAGTATGAGGTAAGTGAAAGTTTTGGGGAATGTTTCGCATAAGTTGTGGTCTAGGGTCGTTAAAACCCTTTTTCCGAAGTCCTTTTGAATGAGCGTGATAGCGTGTGGAATATGCTGGCAGATAACAATAGATGCCCCGCCAATTCTGACAATACTCCCACTGAATGGTCCCCACTCTGGAAGATTATTCATCCAGACCAGGAAACCGCCAATGCCCCGACGTGACAGCGTTACTTCTTCGACTTCAAAGTCCAGAGTAACAATCCTGATGATTGCACATGCAAGCCTTCGAAATGTTGAGTTGTTGTACCGACCGCAGAGGATGTGCCTCCACTGGAACGCAAGGTCGGCGAGCACTCTGCCAACGAAAGCTTTATGCCGCTCTAGACACTGCAAGTCTAAGTCTTTGCGTCTCATTTTCCAGTAGGGTGGTGGGAAGATTGACTGCAAGGTATGTCCGGGGGTGGCCGGAGGTTCGTAATGCTCAAAATCTGAAATGGTTATGGAACGCTGACGACGAAGGCTGAGAGGAATAGAACGTGTCGAATCGCAAAATATCGCCTTCAAGGTCAAGAGTCCAGACTGCTTGAACATGAACGCGGCGGCGGTCGAGAAAGGGATTCACGACGTCGTCCTGATGATGCCACTCCCCAGAGAGTTGCGAATATAGAACATCAAAGGTGGAATATAAGTTCATGAGCACTTGTTTTGTGAAAATCTCACCCACCTCTTGCTACACTTACGAGCTTGCTTGAATATAATCGTACCATGCCGTCGTCTTCAGTAGAACCACGCGTAATAAAGTAGACGGTCCCTGGTAACAAGTAAGGATCAGGCTAAAGCAAAACATTGTATCGAAGAAAATATACCCTGTAGGCTGATGTTGATATACGCTGTCATATTGAGACTTGGAACGCTGAATGTTGGAATGATCAAACTTGGCAGGGGAATTGCGTTGACGGCGAGCGACAGTCAGAGGGAAATCGGATCAAGGCAAAGTGTGTGGCCAAAAGATGTTGTATTGATGATTGTGAGGAAACTAACTATTAAGTGGAACGAGGAGAAATAACTAACTAGTCATACGCAAGGTGCTGAGTAAGCCTGCTAGAGAGAAAACAACGAAAAATGTGGCGTAGTCGCTTCAAGCTACCTAGGTAGCCCAGCACGCGGGGTATGAAAAAGGTGGCACTCTACGTGTGCACATGTATGGCACTGCTTGGGGTGCTTCAATGCATTTTCAGAAATGTGAACAAGATAGAAACTCTTCACTCTAGGCTATGTGGAAACTTGTTGAAGCACTTTAAGCGTGGTTGATGAGTGTCAACAGAACGTGGTAGTCCACGAATCCGTAAAGTGTATATACACTATTAGTGTGCTTGTGTACGCTTGCTTAACACTGCTTGAGGTCCGCTGGTATGTTATTGTTATTCGTAGAATACTAGTTCTGGCATGTCTGATAGCTCACCGGGCCACCTTAGACGGTATTGAAATGCTTAAGTGTGCCACTTTTTTCCCGCCTCGCGTGGACGGGTGAGCTGATGGCATTCATCGACGTAATCGAATTTGGGAGAAGACATTTTAATGGACATTTATCTCTTCATCCATCGCTGTCAAGTGACTCTGAGCCAACGCGGGTCTAGTGTCATTGGGATAGATGTTCACCAACCTTAGCAAGAACTAGAACTGGCTGACGTTGTTACCAGTGAATCGGTCGTTCATTTTGCCAGAAGAGGCCAGTGCGTTGCATGATATCTTCCAAAGCAAGCATCACAGCCGTTTGTGCACCCTCATCTGGCGTCTTAGCCCCTCTACCCTTCGTCATATCTGTCTGGACCCATCCGGGACAGCAGGAGTTGATCAGCACCTTGCTTCCTTTCGCCTTCTCAGCGGCAGCGACAGCTCTTGTCATACTAATGACCCCGGATTTAGAGACGGCATATGCAGCGCTAGGCCATCCTTGCTTCTTCTCATTTCCAGCCTCGACTGCTGATGCGAATGCTTCCATCAACTTTGTCACATCCGATACTGTCTTCGATGCCAGGAACTCGTCCCGAATTCCGTCTGAGTATTGGCTCAAGCGCCCAGACATACTGGCCAGATTTACTAGGCGTCCAGACTCCTTTAGTCGAGGAAGGAAAGTACTCGAGGCTTCGAGAGTGCCATAATAATTGCATCCGAGGGTTGTTTTGACGACGTTGGCATCTAAAGCGCAAGACGTTAGCAAGTTGTCATCCCACACGGAACCCAATGTTAGAGCAAATCGGGAAGCACGTACCAAATCCTTGCATCGCTATTGCGGCGTTGTTGATAACAAAGTCAACCCCATCCCCATGCGTGTTCTTCAGGTATTCTGCGAAGCTCGCGATACTCGTGGAGTGGGCAATGTCGAGGGCATGATACTTGATCTCTGCTAGTCCCCCATCTCTAGTGAGGGCTTTCGCCTGCTTGAGCTGGCTATCGTCTTGCAGGCGTCGCAACGCTTCTTGCCCCCTGCTGCTATCTCGTGCCGTGAGGTATATCAAGAGCGGCCCATTGTTGAGAGGAGAGTTCGGATACTGTAGGGCAAGGTTTCGAACTATGGCTAATTAGACACGTGGACTTCCCATTCTGTACTTTGCTATAGTACCTATCGCGAATCCGATGCCCTACAACGGTAGATATGTAAGTTGTCGTTGTTGCGCAAGCGTCAGATCCATGCTTCTACGTACCTTGTTCGCGCCAGTCACGACACCTACCCGAGTGTACGACATGATTCAGTGTGAAGATATGTGGCAATTGTTTGGAGAAGAAACGACATCTTTCATAGAGGGTTCACTAAACTAGATACGAAACTGTCCATGATGAATCATCAGTGGAACAAACCTTGATGGAATGGCCCGCCACCTCACCGCTGCACGGGGCATGAAAAAGGTGGCACTCTAGTCTACATGGGGTGTGTGCGTGTCTACCACTGCTTGGGTTGCTTCAATGCATTTTCAGAAATATAAAAGGGATAGAAGCTCTTCAGTCTAGGCAGCTATGTAAAAACTCGTTGAAGCACTTCAAGCAGTGATAGACAGGTGCACGTATATAACAGTGTGGTTGATGAGTGTCAACAGAAAGTGGCAGTCCACAATCTGTGACATATACACTATTTTTAACTATGCTTGTGTGCGTTTATTTAGCACCGCTTGAGGACCCCCAGTTTGTTATTGTTATTCATGAAATACGGGTTTTAGAAAGCCTGATCGCTTTCCGGGCCACCTCGAACGGGGTTGAACTGCTTGAGTGTGCCACTTTTTTCTGCCTAGCGTGCACCGACCTGTGGACATCGTGGATTGCCAACCTCAGCCACGTCAATTTCACTCCACTACCCTGCATCTTCTTTATGAGTATTGCAAATAGCAGACTTATGAGAGCTAGGGCACTACTAATACCCCTCATGCTCCTCCTTGGCCTCTTTCCTATCGTCGTTTGAAGTTGTACATCAGTGTTCAAGGAGAGAGTACATCTACTCTAACTCTTCTTTCGTCTCATCTGCTTCCTCTTGGCTCGATTTCTTCTGCTGTTATTAGCAGTTTTGGCAAATAATGACATGGAAGAAGGGTATGGCAGCATATGCGGCCATTTGTAAGGGAAAGTACAAAGGTAGTAAGAGAGTAGGCTGTGAAAGGCGCTTCGGTCGATACGCTTCTCATACGAGCTGTGGCGGATTATCTTATCCGCTAGGCATCCTCGCAAAATCAAGACCATAAAATTTTATGCTGATGGCTGTGAGCTTGACCAGACAATAAATTCAATTATGCCTGATCATGATACTGTAAGTTGCGATTTCACAGCGCCGGAACAAGCCGTCCGTCCGCTTCAGCCCCGAGACTTCATTCCATTCGAGACAATGGTTTGGATAGTCATGAATGCAGTCGGCACTGATTGGTTCTATTCTCGTGAGTATGCTGGCTGCCTCAAGAATGAACCAATAAGATTGACCGTCTGCAGGTTCAGCTCGTATGCCAGCCACCTGCACCCACGCTACATTGCGCGGCTAGACACACGGTGTCCTCATGAGCATCTGACAGGCGAGCTGAACACCTTGGAAGTTTAGGTGGCTGTTTGCCTAGATTTAAGGAGGAGGGGGCGCATTCAAAAAAACTGCTATTATGGGGCTCCGTATGGCAACAGCTTTCAATAGCTCCATCTCCACCGCGCACGACAGCTGCACAAGTGACAAGCGCATCCTCCTACGGCGCTGTTATACTTGATGTCGACGCTTAATACACCATGCATTTCTGCCAGAAAATCGTTCTAGCGTTGACGGCGCTGATCTTCAGCTCCACCGCCGTTTCCGGACTATCCACGCAGGCTGGGACCGTTATTACTCCTCCACCGCCACAGCCTACCCTTTGCTCTCCACTCAACCCTCTCAAGCGCCAGGAGAGCTGTTCCTATGGCCTTTGCGGCACGCAGTGTCTATCCCAAGGCGCGTTTTGCTGCGGGCCTGCAGGAACTCTCGCAACCTCACCTTACTGGGTCTGTGACAATGGAGCATGTATAACCAGCGTTCGAGGATCCACAGGCGTTGTAGACTGCTATGATCCGGATAACCCACAAGGCACAACGCAATCGTGTATAGACAATGTCCCCACAGCAACTTGCTCTTCCACTGATCGTTGCTACACCTGGTATATCCTTTCAGTCCTCTCTTAAGACCACTCTTGCTAATCACCCCCAGCTCTACCGACGAGCCTTTCTGCTTCTGGGAAACCTACGTGCAGACCAACCCAACCACCTTGCGGTGGTTCTCGTGTGTGCCATCTAAGATCCCAGATGTGACCTTCTACGCGGCAACAATCACGGGCAATCTTTCATCTTCCACTCGTTCACCACCACTATCCACATCGAGCTCCACTCCTGGGCCAAAATCCTCCACCGGCGGCCCCGTCCTATCCACTCACACCATTATTAGCATCGCAGTCGGTGGGGGTGTAACATTGATAGGATGTATGGCGATCATAGCGTGGTGCTGCGTCTTGGTTCGAAAGAAGAACCAGAGGAATACACAAGACGGTGTGTACCAGAATGAGCCTCCGCCTCGAATGATGCATGATCGCTCTCCCGCGGAATTGCCCGTTGGCTCACCACCTCGCTACTACGACCAACAGCTTCCCCAGATGAGCCAGGCTCTCGGTTCCACGGCTTTTGGAGCAGAGACTGTTCATGATGACGTGGGTGTTCATACACCAGTGGCAGAGTTGCCGGGAAAGACGGCGAGTGCTGGGGTGACGGGGCTGGGGAAGTACGAGCAACAGGAGGGAGAGCGGCGGGTATATGAGCGCGAGATTGCGTATGGGAATCAGAATGATGTGCGGGCAACAGAACAAGAACCTGCGCGTGCTCAGGGCACCGACTTTGTGGAGCTGAGCACAAATAGGGGGAGTTACACCGAGGGAGACGATTGGGGACATATGTCGCCGGGGGTGGGGGTAGCAAGGTAGTTCGGAGTGAGGAATTGAGTCTGAATAGCTATTACGCGTATCCATTTATATTAACAAACTCAATGTGTTTCTCTTGGATTGCCAGCGATTGTTAGGTGGTCTTCTTGCTTGCAGCAGTATCCTTCAACTTCCATAAATTGAACATACGCGTGAAAACGAAATCCTACGTCGCCAACTGTGAGCATTAATCAGAGGTGGGCAAGGGACGTTGGACTTACCATAACAATCCCCAAGGGTAAGAATCGCTGCACGAACCAAATCATCCATGACGCATTCCCTGCCCACACCCAACGCGAAGGGTTTGATGTCAGCACATGGCTGACGACATCCTTAGCATATGCCTCAGTAGGCATGCCAGCCTCTTGGCTATGCGTCAGCCTCCGCTGGTACTCAGCGTTGATGGGAATGTAATATGATCCGTCGGGGAGTGTCCGTTCCGTGCGTGCGATGTTCGATTTCACGCCCCCAGTTACTATTGTGACAACTTTAACCCCGAAAGGCGCGAGCTCGATGCGTAGAGTGTTACTATAGGCGTGGAGGGCGGCTTTTGATGCGTTGTATGTGCTTCCGAATACATAGGGCCTGGGAGTTGTCAGTTGTTACGCTTGCTATGCATCTAGTGGGATATTTGCATACATCACTCCTGCCAGACTCCCAATCTGCACAATCGTCCCTTTCGCCTCAATCAATAGAGGTGCAAACTCTTGGCAGATTCTCATAACAGCGAAGAGGTTGACCTCAAACGTCGCTCTGACCTCACCAAAGTCCACGTCGAGGGCGGGAACCGTGTAATTTCTTCCAGCATTATTAACCAGAATGTCCAACTTCCCGCCTGTGAGGGCCTCAACTTCCTTCTTGCATGCTTTCACGCTTTCTTCGTCGTCGACGACAAGGGAGAGGGTCTCGATCCCTTGGGTTCGGAGCTCGGATATGGTGGATGCGTTACGGGCTGTCGCGAAGACGCGGAGGCCTTGTGCAAGCGTCAGAGGGAAGACCGAACGCGTGAGGAATTAGGAGACACCTTTCGAGGCGAATTCGCGGGCGAGGGCATGTCCGATGCCGCCGGCGCTGCAGCTTTTTGATAGAATGCTCGTCAGAAGTTTGATTCATGGAGGGAATCATAGTATGGGGGCTATGAACAGAACGGAATGATATACCCCGTAATCAGAACCGTCTTCTGTACCTTAGACATGATGTAGGAGTTATGAGACCGAGGTGTCGAGAAGTTGAGACCGAGGCAGTTCGTGGTGTTGACGAGGGGGAGGGGAGCTACATCTTAAGCAGAATGTGATCACAGCATGGATCATTCATCATTGTGCATGACTGGCTCGTAACGGCTCAATGCTCTGTTGACAAGAGTACGCATTGGCCTCTACTTGCACGATACGGCCTCGTAGTGAGCTGGTACGGAGTACATCGTATGGGCCAGTGCTCGAGTCGTGGTGAGAGCGCAGCAAGAGAGCAAAGCTCTCTAATAAGAGATTACACTAGTTCTGAGTTAGATATCAGATCCGTTTCAGGACAACCTTGGGACTCATTAGTCTGTCTTAAATGCCATGTAGAATACTATCTGCATTGATATCTCGCCTCAATGGCCCGTACATTCTTCTTTTGTTTCAAAAATGATCTATTACTAAATAGTAGTTTGAGAAGTGTGGATGCTCATGATCACCCCGCACCCGCTCTTTCTCAGCCCTCAAAGAGGCATCTGCAGCCTGGACAGCCTATCCTAGAACTATAAATCTCGTATTCTCCCGCCCTTCCTTCAACATACAAATTCTCGCGGCCTTTACTCTTAGCTCGTCTCGATTTATCTCGCCGTTCGCGCAATTTCAGCGCACAATCTTTCAAGAAATGGCTCTGGCGGACTGGATTCCAAGGCTTCTTCGGCCCTCTCTTCTATTGGGGCTGGCTGTCTACCGTATGCAAATGTCAAACAACACGCCAACACAGTATTATGCTGACTAGAATTCACAGACTTTGGTATGACAATACTAGAAACACTTTTCATCCGTCACGAACCATCTCTGCTCTTTAACATTCCTAAACTACAAGAAAAGTCCTTTGCAAGAATCTGGATAAACAATGGTTGTCTCCGTCGACCACAATCGCCCCTCAATCAATGCACTAACAGTCCTCCAGGCGAAAATATGTCTCTCGAAATGCCAGGCAACTTGGACGACCTTCTCAAAACCGTCCGTGGCACCGTTCTCGACGTTGGCCCTGGCAGCGGGGAACAACTCACTCGCTTTGATTCCTCGAAAGTCGATGTTATGTACGGAGCGGAGCCAGGCATCGATCTCCATCCCGGCTTGCTAAGGAGTGCCGAGAAAACCGGCTTCGGCGGAAAGTACAAGGCCTTGCACTGTGGCGGAGAGCCCGAAAGCTTGATTCCCGCACTCGCAAAAGCTGGTGTTTTCAAAGACGGTGTTTCCCAAGGTGTGTTTGACGAGGTCGTCTGTGTGCGTGTCCTGTGCGGGGTACCGCGACCCGAAGAGACTATCCAAGGATTGTACAGATTGATCAAGCCGGGAGGTAGATTGATTTTCTGTGAGCATGTCATCAATCCCTGGCGAGAGGACGGCGCCATACTCGGAAGACTATTCCAGGCCGTGTATGCTCTCTTGGGCTGGAAATTCTTCATGGGAGGGTGCACAGTTGATCGGAACACTAAGCAGTATCTGTTGGACGCACCAGGGAAGGAAGGATGGGAAGAGGTGCACCTGGAGAGTGTGGATCCAACGACGGCGATTCCGTTCATTGTTGGATATCTTGTTAAGAGGGGGTGAAGCCTGTACTCTATGGGGCTTAGTAGAGTAATCCACCATGGCCCTCCAGCGTCTCGTCGATCATCTAAAAGTCGTATCTATTAATCACGAGCCGAACTCCGCAGATATGTAATTCCTTATAGAAGAGAGCAGTCACTTGAGATCAAGAGTGATATCCATGTTGGGCCTAGCGTCATTAGCTTAAAGTTAAAGAGGCTGCTCAACACCATTAACTCATCCTCTTCACATTCATCCATCAACGAATCTCTCGTATTGCATCAAAAATTCGTCTAAAGATCCTATCGTTGCTACAATATTCCCGTTGCTAGCGATGTCGTCAGAGCCAGGAGGAACGCGTCGATCGAGGTTCTCAGAGAGCAGCCAACGGTGGGAGACTCTCACGTCCTGTCAGAGGGAGAAATCTCAGGTAGTAGCTCCGGGCTCATCGTCAAGATATTTTCAGCCACTAATTTGACTGCGGACACTACAAAGCCCCTCTCCGCGTGACATAGCAAGGCCATCCATACGGTACGGCGGTAAAATGACACTCGTAAGTCCAGCTCTGCTTTGGGTCGACCTGGCGAATGTCGAAGTCTCGCACTAGGGTGGAAGCAGCTTTCGAAACCTCCAGCCTTGCCAGGTTACGGCCAGGGCATGAGTTGTATCCAGCACCAAACTGTTCAAAAAGATCAGCTTCAGTCCTTTGGGGGAATGTTTCACATCTTACCGGTATGTAATACTGTTCCATCGCCTGTCCTCTCGGCTCAAGCCATCTTGAAGGATTGAATTCGTTGGCGTCTTCACCGAAGGACTCTTTGCTCCTATGGATAACCCACTGGTGTATGCTAAGCTTGGTCTGCTTTCAATTAGCTCCAATTTGCGCGTATATGATCCGCTGTTTCCTCAGCGCGTCATTTCGATATCAACTTACACCGGGTTCAAAGAATCTCCCACCAATAGTTAATCCCTCCTTGGGAACAACTCGCGCCAGACCCAGGGCAACTGGAGTGTGCAATCTCCAAGTCTCCTTCAAGCACGCCTAGAGATATAGCAATTGGCGAGCGACATTGTAGGGCACCGGCTTATCTTTTTCCGTTTGTGCTTGATCAATTTCTTCTCGGCATTATTGAAAGCATGCTGGATTTCTCAACATATAATAAAAGAACGCCTGCAGAGATGCTGACACAGTGTCCGCACCGGCCCCAACCGTCGCATTTACCACACCATACATGTCGTTCTCCTTGAACCGGTCCGGGTACTCCTTGAGCTGTTGCAGCCACAGCGATAGCATATCGTTCCTCACATCCGGATTCTTCTGCCGCATCTGGATCGCCCGCTTGGTGGTGTCAAAAATGTGTTGTTGTGGCATGAGGTTCAACTTGTTCACAATTGGGTTCCCAAGAGTGTACTTATGGAACGAGTAGAAGAAGCCCGCAAGCGTGACGTAAAGAGTCAGAACTCTGGAATTCGCAATGCTCCCTCCCAGGTCCTTTCCACTCTCAAGGAATCCGAAAGCGTTAGAGAAAGTCACCTCTCCAATCACATCGAAAGCCATGTAGTTGAACCACTTATCGAACTCAACTGGTTTGCTAACAGAAGCAAGCTCGTCCAAACGTTTGCTGAGGAGCGAAATGGCACCATCGACATATGGCTCGAACTTTATGATGTGGGAAAGAGAGTAAGCTGCCGCAACATTCTTGGCTCTCTCGACACGCATTTTAGGATCCACCTCTGACATTGGCGTTTGGAACCTGTGGTCTAGAAGGGCCATAACCTTGTACCAGTCGGCCTTTCGGATAGGATTGAGTAGTATCTTGCGTACACCCTCCGGGTGGCTGACACTGACTTCATTGTGGCTAATACGAACGAAGTATCCTATAGAAAATGATCAGCTACGACAAGGACGGCCATAGTCTCGACCTACCAAGCTTCTCATGTAGAGCGATGGTCTTGAACTCAATGTGCCCTCCGATTATACTCCATATTTCCCATAAAACTGAAAAGGATGCAACAAAGGGACCTGGAATATCGCTAATTGACGAAAAGTACCTTCTCCTAATTGCTACTACCAAAATATAGGCAAAAAGCAAAGTAGCAGCAATAGTGGGGTAGCTCACACCCTCCGCGAGTCCGAAAAACATCCTTGGCTTGTGAAAGGAAGAACAACCCAAACCGCGGCGGTTTCGATGATTATCGGAGAAGAAGGGACGCGATCTCCTCGCGTGCGCGGCGACGACAAAAATGTATAGCTAAGGAGAATTCGCCTATCGTTGATTCGCTCGAGTCGTGGACTCGGCCCAAGGACATGCCGCAGCAAGATACCGCTGTAAACGACGACACGCTACTTATCCTGGCTGGTTTTAGTTGTTGAAGAGGTAGTGATCGTCGGAAATTCTCGGCGGGAGACTTTATCCTTGCCAGTTCCAGGAACCCTTGGACCTTCACTTCTGACGCAACCTCTTGGTCGCAAATCTGCTGCTGCAGCGAACGGCCCAGATGCCAAAACACCCCACAGACGCTCAAGCTGATCCTGGAACCGGTAGTCTCGAAGAGCCGGCTGGAACCCCTTCAGGGTCAGGTTTTACCTTGTTTCATAAATCACGTACCGATATTGCTAGGTTTCGTCTCCTTTAGCTCAAATACGGTGACGGCCCGGAGACTAGCGTCGGCACGAAGAAAAGACCGTTAAAGAAACTAACAGCCTAGTACGAAACACATCCCCAGCCCCCACTAGTGACTTGAAAATATCAGCATGCGGGTCGCCTCGTTGGACACACATCACGAGTATCACAAGGGCTTTGGTGCTGCAATTGGGGGCGCGCGGCAGTATAATGGGTTATACGGTGCTTTCTTTTGGCCTGTGAAATAAACACCAGGAAACGATTCAGCGAAGTTAAGAGAAAGACAGAAGTCATCGAAAATTTAACAACCCCAAAGGATATGGTTGCACAATATTACGGGATATTTTATTGTTATCACGATGGTTTACGTATCTTCAATCTGGATCAATACCAATACTGAGATGTGCAGTAGCATCGAGCAGAGTATGGCCTGTGCTAGGTACCTCCGCGGTTGCAAAAGTCTGTTGTGATCCGTGCACGAACGCCAATCTCGTGAAATGTAAACACCACTTGGAGTTGTGATTTCTCCACACA